TAATATTCCTTCCTCTTTCAGTAGTTAGCGATTCCCTTAATTTTATCATTAAACATCCGGTACCCATTGTGGTGCGTTCAAAAAGTCAAAAAGACATAACCGTATAATGTTGTCCCGTCCCTTTTCATATTCAAAGATCCTAATTGTCAATTAATTAAGGTATGCAATCTGTCATTTAAAGAAAGTCAAATTACTGTTAATTACAGCCAATCGCTTCCCCATTTGAGATTAAAGTGGACGACGGAAATCATAGCCCACTTCTCATGGAATAATGCTTGAATCGTAAGTAACTATTCAATCAAATTTCAGGTATAAAATAAAAATTATATGTTAATTATAATTAAATTTGTTTAGAAATTAAATTCGTTTGGAATAAAGTCACACAGATCCAATATAGGGGTTTAAATGTTAAGGTTTCTGTATATAGATCCTACTTGTATTCTATTGAAACTCACAATAAAATACATAGGGAAGGCCTTTAAATTTATAATTAATTTGTCTCTTTTTAATGACAATCTTTTGTTTTTGCAATCATAAGTCATTCGACAAGCTTTTGTTTTTGCAATCAGTCATTCGAAAACATAGTGATCATTGAGGTAAGCGTTATATGGGCGACACTAAACTGCAGGTTCATGAATAATTAAGTAGCAATATAAATTGAATATTCATTTCCCAGTATGTTGAAAATCAGTATAATAGTACTGAAAGTGCCTACAATGTAAGGAATAAATAAATAAATAAATAAATAAATAATAAATAAAATTAATATATAAAATATAACAACACCTGCAGTAGCGGTGCTCATCTAAAGATTAATGTATAAAATATAACAACACCTGCAGTATTGGTGCCCATAATGCAGTAGCGGTGCCCATCTAAAGATTAATGTATAACATATAACAACACCTGCAGTAGTGGTGCCCATAATGCAGTAGCGGTGCCCATCTAAGGATTAATGTATAACATCAACACCTGCAGTAGCGATGCCCATCTAAGGATTGATATATATATAAAATATAACAACACCTGCAGTAGTGGGGCCCATAATGCAGTAGCGATGCCCATTTAAGGATTAATATATAAAATATAACAACACCTGCAGTAGTGGTGCCCATCTAAGGATTAATATATAACAACACCTGCATTAGTGGTGCTCAAAATGCAATACGGTGGCCATCTAAGGATTAATATATAAAATATAACAACACATGCAGTTGTGCGCCCTCTTACGGACTTCTTGTACTTTTATAACCTTTTGTCCATGCGTATTTCATGAACGTTTGCAAAGAGGCTAAACGGTACATTCCTATTTTTTCGCAGAGGCTCAGCGTACTGGGCCTAGCATTTCGTATGTTATGTCATTCTAATTCGACTTGATACGGCTCAGATCCATAGGAAAATGCAATTAAAACATATGAAGACTTTTCTTACTCCACAGGTGAGTTAATGTGTTTCACTTGACGATTATTTGTATGAGTTATGTCTATAAATTTAGTGTAAACAATTTGTGTTGCATAGGACGCTTTGTGTTGTCAAGAAGATGCCAAGGCTAGTGAGTCGGTTCTGGGCCGCTTTGCCCCGGTCGTTTCAAGATGTCAACATAGGACTAGGGCCTGTTTCGTTATATTATATACCAACGTTGTCTTTTGTTTTAGGATGGAGCTGCTAAAATCACAGCATTAGCTTGGTCACCCAACAACAAAAAATTGGCTGTTTGTACTGTCGACCGTGTCATTTTGCTGTATGATGAACATGGCGAAAGAAGAGACAAATTTTCAACGAAGCCAATTGACGGAAAGGTAAAAAGATATTTTTAATTCTTCTATTTTTTCCCCCAATCAATTCTATTATATTTTATTTATTGTATGAATTACTAATTTGTGTGCTTTAGTTAGCTGTATGATTGCCAGACTGTATAGTAAGGCCTAGCCTGTGCAGGGTATCGTCTGCTTAAAAATTTGGCCTAGGCCTAGAAATCTGTCTGCGCATTTTGGCCAATAAGGGCCGATTTCCATGCAGGTTTTTTTTTTAAATTAGGCTTTGACCAAATCTTGATACAGTATATAACCAATGCAATTATGCAGCAATTACGATTCCCTGCACCTATTTTCCTAGTGATTTTCTGCGCAGATTTGAACTGATTTTTTAGATATCCTCCGCTCCGCGCAATTAAAAAATTTACAGAATGGTATGATTGTAGGCCTTTATGATTCTTTAGGGTCCTAAGGGATTAGCTTATTATTTATAATTTATTGGATTTAACCTAGAAAAATAACTTCAAATTCCACCTAGAAGAATAACTTGTAATTTGTATCCCAATTGCAGTGCCCTGGTTTAAATTCTGCAAATATTAAGTATTATGTCAATATTCATATATTATTGGTTTATATGGGCTTACAGTATATATCACTTTAGCTTACCTGTATATATCACATATAATAATTGTTATAATAATTGTTATATTATACTTTTTATGATTATTATATTCTAATATGATATAATTGTTTATATCATATTGCATATATTATTGGTTTATATGGGCTTACAGTATATATCACTTTAGCTTACCTGTATATATTACATATAATAATTGTTATAATAATTGTTATATTATACTTTTTATGATTATTATATTCTAATATGATATAATTGTTTATTGCAGTATGGTAAGAAAAGTTACACAGTGAAAGGTATTGCATTTTCACCAGACTCAACCAAGATTGCAGTTGGACAAACGGACAATATTGTCTATGTTTACAAGATTGGAGATGATTGGTAAGATGCGTAGCAGGGGAACTTAGTGACTCAAAGTCTTTTACTTACAGTTAATGATGTTGCTTTTCTAAGAAAGTTAATGACTACACTAGTAGTATTCAAAAATAGACTTTGCCACTTTAGTCAGTGGGTATCAGGGGCAAATCTGATCCAGAGATGTCTAAAAGGGGTGGGGGCAATTGAGAGAAAACACTACCCTAGGGGGTCCAGGAAGTTTTTGTTTTGTAGACGCCCTGAAATAACCTCTAAGCTGTTTTGGGCGATCAACAATTTCTCTTCATTCTTTCTTTTTTTTCTTTTTTTAGAGTGCAGCCTCTGCTCTGTCTCTTTTTCACATCTAGAAGTGGATAAAAGACAGATCTTCCCCTGGATATAGATAGATAAGAAAATTTATTTTAAAACCAAAGAAATTGATCGGTTTGATTGAATGATTGATTGATTGAATAAATGGTAGAATATAGTCAAATTGAAGAATAATGGTAGGGAAAATTTGTTTGAACATCCAGATCATTGAATAATTATGTATGACATTTTATATATTATATACATTCTTTATTTCTAGATGGTAGAATGTAATTGATAATAATCTTGCATTTTATGTATATTGTCTCTTACTTTTTATCTTACATTGTTGATATTTTGTAAAAATGTTTTATTTGTTTATTTTTGTTTTTAAACAGCAATGATTGATACAAACTTCCAAGTTATTTTTTCCTGAAGTATGTTGATTTTCTTACTTATATACAACAATATACTGTTTTTACCTTACCTTAATCTCAGGCTCTAGCAGTCCACTGCAGGACGTATCCCACCTCCAAAACCTCTTGTCTCTATTCCTCGCTGTTTTTACAATAGCTGGTTATTTTTAAACATTTTTTTGGCATCCTAGGGAATCAAAGAAGGTGATCTGTAACAAGTTTGTCCAGCAGAGCGCTGTCACATGTTTGATCTGGCCGCCAGATAATCAGATTGTCATTGGTCTAGCTGACGGCAAAGTTCGAGTTGCAAATACCAAGACCAACAAATCCTCCACTGTCTATGGCACCGATTCCTATGTCGTATCTGTGGCTCACAAGTAACTATGCAATGAATATCTCATGCTTTATTTTTATATCACATAGGTGTTTAAAGTATTTTATTGCAATTTGTTTTAGCTTTATTTTTGAATTTACCATGGCTGCAGTTAGGATGAAATTATGTTTGTCCTACGCGATGTGTTATCGTACAGAATGATCAGGATGTTCCCAAATGCTTACGAAAGAAAGTGATTCGGGTGGGAATCGAACTTACGACCTCCAGCTAACCAATCTTGTTTCTTAACCACTAGACCACAAAGCTTGCATTTTGTGGCTAGTGATGAATCCGATCCCCTAGTAGCAGTGGCTACAATGCTATTCCGCCATCAGAATGACTACAGTTAGGTTCTCTATACTAGATTATATCAATTTTAGTTATAACTTATGTTAGTACTGTAGCTTAAAATTGTTAGCAATATTCAAGCAACTGCCTTCTTCTGGAAACCTCTATAATCAATCACTATTTACCGACAGAGGATCCAACAAAGGGGATTGAATTAGAGGTCAGCTGAAGCCTCCAGTTGGAGTTAAGTGGGAGACATTTATTGATATGATGTTAAAATAGGGCTTTTAGACCACAGTTTTGCTCTCTGTACTGGGACTGATGCGACATTTTTATACAAATATGTGAAAACTATAAAATAAATATAATTGAATGAGTTATATAATTTATTTTTCAGTGCCTCTGGGAAAGGAATCTTATCCGGGCATGCTGATGGCACAATTGTCCGCTACTTTTTCGAAGATGAGGGCACAGGAGAGTCGCAGGGAAAGATCTGCACGCACCCGTGTCCCCCGTACAGCCTCTGCTGGGCTGTGAGCAGTGTTGTGGCTGCCGGATGCGACAAGAAAATAATGGTATATGGACGAGATGGTCAGTGCATCCAGCAGTTTGACCACAGTCGTGATCCGGACGAGCATGAGTTCACCGTCGCTGCCAATAGTCCAACCGGACAGTCTGTTGTCATTGGTAGCTATGACAGGTATGGAATTATCCTCCAGAGGGAGTTCTGTTCACATGTGCCTCATACTGTAGGTGTTTGATTTTAGTCACTAATAATAATTTAATAATAGTCAAGAAGTTTGACTATGGTGATAGTGTGATGTCATCATTAGCATATTTAGGCATGTCACATGTTTTTTCAAATATTATTTGATAATCTGTACAGGGCTTAAGGTAGCCATTATAATTACCATATTATTATAAAGTTATTATTTAAATATTATTACAATATGATGTAATAAAAATATATATTATTACGTAGTAATAATTATATTGTAATAATATTTTTTAAATAATATTGTTATTACAAATGTAATAACAATATTATTTTAAAAATATTAAAATATAATAATTACAATGTAATTATTACAATATTATTATTACAATATAATTATTACAATATAATTATTATAAGAATTTTTAACCTTTGTGATTCTAAATTCTAAATGTTCACTCTGTAGACTGCGAGTTTACAATTGGTCACCTAGGAAGGGTACGTGGGAGGAGGCGAAGAGAAAAGACATTAAAAATCTGTACACAATAACGGCACTGGCATGGCGAAAGGATGGATCCAAACTAGTAGCTGTAAGTATCATGCATTTCAAAATTCAAATACCGATGTCGAATAATGAGAGCACTATTTATGTGTTATCTTTTATGAATATGTTATTTTATCTGAACATATATAATTTTAACTAGTAGGCTTCATTGTATACAAATTAATTTCATTTGAATTCTGTGTTCAGTATTTTCATGAGTACATTTGTTGGTGAACTTTTTAACACGTGACAAAAAACAAACATTATGCTATGATTTTCTTTTAAATTTTATTCCATTGTCAGGAAAAAATAAGAAACTAAACAAAAGTACAATACCGCTAATTAATCAATAATCTTAATTTATCCGACATGGAGAAATTATATCAGGACTGAATACACAAGATAATCAAATACTATATTTTATGATATGATAGAATACAAAAAAACTAGTATTTTAATATGTTTGTGTTTCATTTATAACAATGTTTTTATTTACTTTTGAATAAGCTGTTAAATAGTTTAAAGTATCATATTAATAATATATTTTTAGGGTACACTTTGTGGTGGAGTAGAGATGTTTGATTGTTCACTCCGTCGTACAATTTACAAAAACAAGTTTGAGATGTCCTACGTAGAACTGAGTCTTGTCCTGGTAAAGAACTTATCAACAGGAACACGAGTTAAACTTAAATCGCATTATGGATACGAGGTTAGTTGGGAAATCCAAAAGGACGAATTGCTATGAAACTTTTTTTTAAAAATAATTTTGCTGCAGGTGCTGATGCTACGCAGTTCCTGCGTCAGTAAAACATATTTTTGTTTTATTTGATCAATGCCTTTTCGAGAAACCATTTCCTCCTTTTTTTTTCTTTTAGATTGAAGAAGTAAAAATTCTTGGTAATGATCGCTATCTAGTTGGCCACACCTCCAACACTTTGTTGCTAGGTGACTTAGCAACCAACAAACTTAGTGAAGTGCCTTGGCAAAGTAGTGGTGGTAATGAAAAGTTCTTCTTTGATAATGAAAATGTAAGCAATACCTTCAACTATGATTTATTATTACTTATTATAATTATTTATTATCATTGTTATTCTTTCTAGCTAGAAATGTCCATTAACTTAATGATCAATGCACTTGTATATGGCGGATATAACATTCATCTCGATATGCTTTCCAGGACAACAGAAAAGAACAAAACCAGAAAAAATGGTTGAAACAGAAAAGTTAAAAATCCAAGAAAAATGACTTGAAACTTCAGAAACACAATCTATATAATTTCTAGCTCTCTCCAATCAGTGAGGGATTCAAACCTCTGACCTCAGAATTTAGAGACTAAAGCACAACCGCTGCGCAATTTGCTTAACGTTATTATGTTGTCGTTGTTACAGGTGTGTATAATCTTCAATGCGGGTGAGCTCTCACTAGTGGAGTACGGCAACAACGAGGTGTTGGGATGTGTCAGGACAGAGTTCATGAACCCTCACCTCATCAGGTAAGAAAGACTAATGGAGCGGAATGACTGTGGCTTAATGGTTAAGGAGCTTGGTTTGGTGTTTGCAAGATGCCTCTCACGACAGCAGCTTAGCTCGTTCGACTAAACTGGCGGTAGCCACAGTATGTGCACTGAACCGTGGAGATCTCTTTGTTCCCGTTTCTAATTCCTTCCGCTGCTCTTCTATTGTCTCAGCTGGAGGGCTGAATTGCAAATTAGCACTCTCTCTGTTGAATGAGAAGTACTTGCTTGGTCCCATGTTCAATATGGCCTCTGTTCTTGTTAAAGAGGGTAATTCCCCATACTGCATTGGGAGATAAGTACACAATATACAAATGTAAGTTGAAGATAATTTTTTTTTCCCTGCTATCAATTTCTCTTATGCAACAAAACTTTTTTGTTGACCTGCATTTCAGCGTCCGTCTGAATGAGCGTAAGCAACTTGGAGTTGACGACAACAAGAAGATGGCTTATTTGGTCGATTTGAAGACGATTGCGATCGTTGATCTTGTGACTGGTTTTGCATTGGCGACAGTAGCACATGACTCTAAGATTGACTGGCTGGAGTTGAATGAGACGGGACATAAGCTACTCTTCAGAGACAAACGACTGCGTGTAAGTGGAAACCATCTCTTTACCAGTGGCCAGGGGGTGGGGTGTCTATATTAATGTATACTGTTTTTCAAATGAGAAATCTTTGTCATTTTAAGGTTATTTACAAAATAAATGATTTAAACTTTCAGCTTCACCTTTTTGACATCCTGACTGAGACGAAGACAACAATACAGAATTACAGTTCGTATGTACAGGTAAGCAGAACATTATATTTGATTAACAAATTATGCAATAAAAAGATTAATTTGAGATAAATGAGGGAACATAAAGGAAAAAATAAATAATACTAAAAAAAATCGATTAATATAAAACACAGCACCACTGAACACTTGATTGTTTAAAAAAAAAATTCAGCTGTATATACAGTTTTAGACAATTTGCTATAAATTATTATTCACACAGTATCTGTGACGTATAATTGTGTTTGAATGGTGACACATTTCGGTAAAGGTCCTCTTATTTCTATTCATAGTGTTCTGCAGATCGTCTTTTTTAGAATTTTTAAGAAGCTCAATTTTTAGTTTTCGTAAGCGACAGCTCTCCAGCAGAAACATGCTTGTTTCCATTTTATGTAAATATGTGCTGAGGTTTTCCAAATTGAAATGTTGGTGGACAGATCTGCTCTACACCTAGTCCTTTATTTATTTCAAAGAGGTTCACAATTGTTTTGTGCGCAGTTCAATCACTATGATTGATCTTTTTTCTCTTGTCTTGTTTTTTTGTACTAATTATATGGATATTAATTGTTTGAAATAAAAGAATTGAAATTGATTGAATTGACTATCAAGTATTTATTGTTCAAAATTTGAATTTGCTTTCAGTGGGTTCCTCAGAGTGATGTCGTCGTAGCCCAAAATCGTGACAGTCTCTGTGTTTGGTACAATATCGATCATCCAGAAAAAGTCACCATGTTTCCTATTAAGGTTTGTACATCAGTTATTGTTTTCTAAATATATTAGATATTTCATATCTACCTATCTATATGGTCTAATTATTATGACAATAAAAATTTTTTCAACTTGGAGTTGACGACAACAAGAAGATGGCTTATTTGGTCGATTTGAAGACGATTGCGATCGTTGATCTTGTGACTGGTTTTGCATTGTCCACAGTAGCACATGACTCTAAGATTGACTGGCTGGAGTTAAATGAGACGGGACATAAGCTACTCTTCAGAGACAAACGACTGCGTGTAAGTGAAAACTATCCCTTTACCTCTACCTATCTATATGGTCTAATTATTATGACAATAAAAATATTTTCAAGTTATTCCATTGATATTTTTTAGGGGGACATCGTTGATCTTGAGCGGGTAAATGGTAAGACCGACGTGGTTGTTAAAGAGGGCGTAACAACTATTTCATACACGTTAGACGAGGGGCTTATCGAGTTCAGGACGGCCATTGATGATGGGGACTATGCAAGGTAAGCGATAGTGCTAAGGGGCTGTTTTCAAAATACTTGGTTTACTTATACTTTGTACTACTGACATAATTCAAAGCTGTAGTATTTGTTACATAATAGGGAATTTTTTATTTGCTTGATGACATAACCCTAGAGTGGATTCGATCATCCGTGACCATTCTATGTTCTTGCACAACATACTGTAGATTCGGGCCAAACTGCATCCTAGGATCCAGACGACAATGAGAACTCAATGTTCTCGCATGCTAAGATGACTTCTTAGTGACGTCGTTACATTCTAGGTCCTACCATTGTGCAATCAAAATCTCTCTAACAATCAGCCTTTAATACCTTTTCATTGCTTATGAAACTAGTCCAACTTACCTTCGTAATTTTTCGTACACATTTATTCCCTTCATGATTTCAGTTTCAATTGCCCATGCTTCACACTTTATTGTTCGTTTATTATTATTAATATTATTAGAAATTTTGTTATCTATGTATTATTTTTATTGTTTAATATTGTCATTTATTATTGTAATAAATATATTTTTAATTATATTCATATAATTATTGTTAATTATCAATTATGAAATAGCATTATGTTGTCTATTTATTATTTTTATTGTTTAATATTGTTATTTATTATTTATTAATTAATATATTGTTTTATTTATTATTTTTATTGTTTAATATTATTTATTATTTATTAATATATTTTTAATTATATTTATATAATTATTATTTTTTATAACAATTTTAAAATAGCTTAATCTAATTTTTTGACAGAGCTGTTGCATTCCTGGAAACTCTTGAGATGTCAAATGAGACTGAAGCCATGTGGAAGACGCTCAGTAAATTGACGCTTGAATCCAGCCATCTGCACATCTCGGAACGTTGCTATGCTGCCCTCGGTGATGTGTCCAAAGCACGTTATCTACACAACTTAAACCAACTTGCAACCCAACATGCTGACGAAATGGTATGCTTCAGTGAACATCAGCAATGTACCCTCCAATATAGCCCTGCCCACATCTGTTAAGGCTGTAAATAGTCTACCGTAAAACCTCGAATTGAAGCCCTGGGCTTCTTATTTTTTTCACGAACTTTAGATGGGCTTCTTTTCGAGATGGGCTTCTTTTCAATATGGGCTTTTTTTCAAGGTTACTTTTGCAAATCAAAGAGGGAGGCTTCTCTTCAAAATGAATGCTGTAAATTTTGTGAATTTGTACTATAAAACAATAAATAAGGCCACTGTAACATCAATCTGTATCATGGTATGTATTTACTGACATTAAATCACCTAAACTACTGTATAAACCAAGCTTGTTTTTAATTAATTAATTAATTTTTTTTTTTTTAATCATGTACAGTATGGTGTATATCCTGTACTATCTCGAGAAGCAGCCTATGCTATCTTAAAAAAAAGAGCCTCGAAGCTAATTTTGCAAACTAAAGAGGGGAGCTTCAATTCGAGATGGCCTTCATCTTGAGATTATGCCTACTGAGCTTCAATTCAAGGTTTTATAGTATTCTGATTGGTTAAATAGTTTGATTGAATTTGCATTTAAAGTTATTTATTCTGTTTTACTCCTAGATGGAGATGGCAGGCTAGAAAATATCAAATCATTTATTCTATATTTTTTTCATGGTAAAAAATTTGAATCAATTTTCAGGGTGGCGAAGGAATAAACCATTATGAAGTGCGGGCAAAGCTGGCCATCCTGAACAAAGACTTTAAATTAGCTGAGAACATTTACTTGGAACAGGTAAAATTTTACTATGAGAAGTATATTGACAGTGGTGCTTACTATTTAATTCCTAGGCCTTGGGTTCATTATCAAAGATTTTTCATGACAAATAAAACTAGTGTTTGATTGGTGGTAAAGATGCCCATATCCTCTAATCCTAAGGTCCTGGGTTCAGTCATGAGAAAAACACCTTAGGATTTTGGTTATAACCAAGATCAACTGCCTCGTAAAGAGAGTCTCAAAACGATCAGCTCTCCACCCACCAAGCCTCATGAAGCAACTTGGTTATAGAGCCTTAAGGGTCCCAAATGATTATTTCTCCACTCCACAAGCCTCATAAAGGGACTTTGTTATAGAACATCCAGGGTCCCAAATGTCCAGCCCTCCACTCCACAAGCCTCATAAAGAGACTTGGTTATAGAGCATCCAGGGTCCCAAATGTCCAGCTCTCCACTCCACAAGCCTAAAAAAGAGACTTGGTTATACTGTAGAGCATCCAGGGTCCCAAATGTCCAGCTCTCCACTCCACAAGTCTCATAAAGAGACTTGGTTATAGAGCATCCAGGGTCCCAAATGTCCAGCTCTCCACTCCAAAAGCCTCATAAAGCAAATTGGTTATAGAGCATCATGGGTCCCAATTGTCCAGCTCTCCACTCCCCAAGCCTCAAAAGAGACTTGGTTATAGAGCATCCATGGCCCCAAATGTCCAGCTCTCCACTCCACAAGCCTCATAAAGAGACTTGGTTATATAGCACCCAGAGTCCCAAATGTCCAGCTCTCCACTCCACAAGCCTCATAAAGAGACTTGGTTATATAGCACCCAGAGTCCCAAATTTCCAGCTCTCCACTCCACAAGCCTCATAAAGAGACTTGGTTATATAGCACCCAGAGTCCCAAATGTCCAGCTCTCCACTCCACAAACCTCATAAAGAGACTTGGTTATAGAGCATCCAGGGTCCCAAATGTCCAGCTCAGCAGGATGGGTCACCTTTTTCGATGTTCAAAAAAAGAAAAAAAAATAAGGTATAACATTATTGATAATAACATTTAACAACATTGTTATTGGAACTGATTTATTATATCAGTCAATTTAAATTATGGTTGATTGATATGAGTGCCTTCCCTCCAGAACCTGATTGATGAGGCCATGCAGATGTACCAGGAGCTTCACAAGTGGGATGATGCCATTGCTGTTGCAGAGGCAAAGGTAAACATAAGCATCTTCATATTTTAAAAAAGCACCAGTACTGTTCTCTATCCTAGACACTATTTCATGGTACTGTACTTGAAATATTTTTTTCACTTGAACAAATAAGGAACTACTGTATTAAATAATTAGTTTGGGTATACACAGTTCATGCAGTTTCATCGTCTTTTGTCTTTGTTCGATCATAACCCTACTGATTTCATTCAAATGTGCTAATCATAAGATGGAGGACAGCCAGAGGTCGGAAGTAAGCTTCAAAGTTCTTACAAATAATAATGAAACCATCATTAAAAATAGGGTCATCCAGAGCTTGACAATCTACGACATAGCTACTACCAATGGCTGATGGACACAGGTCAAGAAGAGAAAGCCGGTGAGATGAAGGAGAATGAGAACGACTACCATGCCGCCATCAATTTGTACATGAAAGCCGGCATGCCAGCACGAGCTGCCCGTCTAGTGACCAGTCACGATGATCTGATGGGTAACCGCGATCTGGTCCAGCGAATTGCTGCCTCGCTCATCAAAGGAGACTTCTATGAAAGGGTAGGAATTTCTAGTGTTCCATTAATATTATGTTATTATTGCTTTTAAATATTATTATTATTATCATCACTATCATTATTAATTTATCGTCATGATTATTGTCATTATGTTATTTTTATTATTGCTAGTGAATTAAACTTGAATCTGACAATTCTTTTTAGGCTGGTGACTTATTTGAGAAGACAGGGGATGAGCAGCGAGCAATGGAATGCTATCGAAGGGGCAAGTCATTCCGCCGAGGTATGAAAAATTTTCTTCATACTAGAAATTTCTTATTTATGTAGACTATGTAACTTTTTTAACATATATTTGATATCAGATTTTGAACATTTTTTTTCTCCGAAATATATTTTTAAGCTGTTGAGCTTGCTCGAGCATCTTTTCCGAATGATGTTGTCAAATTAGAAGAAGAATGGGGAAACTACCTAGTCTCCCAGAAACAGATGGATGCAGCTATCAATCACTTTATAGAGGCTGGGTATGCAAGTCTACTTGAATTTCTATATGTTGAGTTATTGTTTTGATGAAATGTTTCTTTTTGTGTACATTTACTAGATAAACCAATAAATGTTTGGGGTTCACCCCACTGATCTCTACTATAATAGCTGGATTGCTCATTGGCCAATCCTGGTACAGAAAAAAGTGAGGCCACCGAGGCCATGTTGGAGGCCTAAGTGACGTAGAAACGACTGTTTATGCATGCAGTTTCCAAAAGCTCAAGCAAAGTCACGTTGTTATAGTGATGTTGATCCCTAATAACGCAAATAACTTTGAGGCCTAAGTGACGTATCATTTTAGAAAAGTTTCTTTCGGCTTTTGTTTAAATTATAGTTAAAAATTACGATTCTTCCAATACTTTTCAATAATAAATTTAAATTTAACATAGGAATTTTTTTCTAACCACTAGACGCAACTGTTTATGCAGTTTTCAAAAGCGCAAGCAAAGTCGTTATAGTGACGTCGATCCATAACAATGCAAATAACTTCGCTTGCGCTTTCTTAAACTGCATAAAAAGTCACATCAAATAGATAGATGATAATAATTAGTACTTTAAATTCAAATTTATTATTAAAAGGTTTTGCAAGAATCGTTGTTTTAGCTTTCATTTCTTTTCTACACAGTTGTTCGCAGAAGGCCATTGAAGCAGCCATACACTCACATCAATGGACCAAAGCCGTTCAGATAATCGAAATTCAGGAGCCAAGCATGGCCGAGAAATACTACGCTGATATCGCTCAACACTATGCATCCATCAAAGACTATGAGGTGAGGTGTTGCAGCTAGAAAATTGCCTGATTTTAAGTTGCTTTAAAAAGTGCTCTACACTATAAGATCATGGAAGAAGCTATATAAGAGCATGGAAGAAGCGTTCTGAACTTAAAAACAACTAAAAGTTTCAAAAGTTACAGTATGTACTCTCAGGATGAGTGGGATTTCAGTACTGTACTGGTAGATCTGTATTTCTGCTTTTACATATATTTATGTATTTTGTTAAAGATTGTTGTATGTTTCCTTTTATTATTTTATCTGAATTGCTTTTATGTCATATTAGGAATTAGGAAATGGGGGTGGGGGAGGTAGAAGTTGGTTAAGTACATTGGAAGAATGATTTTACCGTTCTTTATGTAAACTAATATTTTGTAGGTGTCAAATTGAATTAACTTGATGTGCTTCCTTGTTTTACTTTGTCTGTAGGTAGGCTTTAGAGCTTTTTTTTCTCTTGCTTTTTTTTGTATTGTTGATTTTAAGGATGCACCGTTCACCGTAAACATGTGCCACCGATCTGAAGGTGTATATCCAAATAAATAAATAAAAAAGTATGTAATATATTAAATAATAAATGCCACTCTTCACACACTCAAAGGAACACTCAATGCTCTTTACAACAATGAAAATGTAGAACTGTTTTATCAGTAATAAACCAAGCAAAATTAATGTAAACGTCCTGCGAGCTTTCATCAATGTTACCAACTTGACTTTGTTAGGCTAGAAAAAGCTGGCATTATGCTTACATTCATTGTACTTGGTTTATTATCGATAAAACAATGCTACAGTTCTAATGAGCAACCCAGATCAAACTATTCCATGAATACAGTAGTAGGTAAAGTGCTTAAGTTTTATTTGTTAATTTCGAACTTTTTTTCCGCAAGTCTACATCTATTCATTATATCAATGTTGATCTTTATTTACATAAGACTGCAGAGAAGTTCTACGTGCGCGCAGACATGACAAAGGCGGCCATTGAGATGTACACAAATGCAGGGAAATGGGAAGCAGCACACAAGGTAGGTCCTAATT